TCCCCATGGAGGGTGAGACCTTCCACGAGGGATCTCAAAATCTGTCAAGTCATTTGAGGCAGGGCCTAGGCCCTCCCTTGTATATCTAGACTGAGAGAGTATCCCTTCATGAGAAATGGACTCCCAAAGTCTGTTCGTGCATTAGGGATACATCCTGGTGATAACTGATATCTTGATTATGCATCCTGTCATAATAGGAAAACTTGGCAGTTATGGTGACCTATTTAAAAATCCTCATTTTGCTACTTTCCAATTTGACCCAAAACTTTTTGTCATCTGCAAAATGATGACATCTACCTGATGGTACACTAAAGATCAGTGAGGATTAGCAAGGATCTAACTAACCATATAGACCTTGCTTGGCTTGTCTGTGTGCTAGCTGGGTCAAATAGTGATTGGTGAAGTTAAGATAATCATCTATTAAAGTCCACATGTTGCCGCTCAATTTAGATAAGCCTGAACTGAAAGTGACTGGTGAAGAGATTCCCATGCTTTGAATAATAGAAAAATTCCAAGGTGATTTTATTGGTGTTGACTAAGACAATGTCAATTTTCATTCATGTTTTGTTATGATTCATTAACTAGAGGTACTTATCTGAATGAGCTTTTGGCATCTATGTCACACACATAAAAATGCCAGCATAAAGTGCAATCTGTTGATCATGATAAGGACTTTTCACTTGTTTGATAGGCAGTTGTACAAGCCTTCATAGGGTCTGAGAGTAGCACTGTTAGGCAGCTCCTTTGTTTTGAGTATCATGGAATTCACTTGTCTGAACTCAGATGGCTACTTCATTGTGCAGTTTAATCTGTGGCATATATAGTGTGATGACTGAATCATCTTCATGGGGGAATATGAGCATCACTTTACAGAAACATTAAGAATGTTTTCTCTTGGGCTGGAGAGATAGATCTGTGGTTAAGAGCATGTACTTTTTTGCAGAGAACTTGAGTTCAATTCCTAGCACCTCCAATTCTAGTTCCAGGAGACCTGATGTCTTCTCTGGCCTCTACAGGCACCTGTTATCTGCCCTCCCCATACACTTCCCCTTACACACATACACAACAAATATAACAAATCTTTTAAAGAAAAGTAACTTTCTTTTTTTAAAGAATGTTTTCTGTCCATCGGGGAAGATTTGAAAATTGTATTTTTCTCATTTTGTTTTGGGAATAATGAGGATTTTTATACTTGGAGTTGAATCAGGGTGAAAGATTTTATAATATAAATATACCTTTAATTATAAGGAAATTCCATTTTAAATCTTTTCTCTTTAGCAAATGTACCTAGGGAGACAAATGAAAAACACTAAACAACTACCTCATGGGATAATGAGAATCAATTAGAATTAGACACTGCACTCCACATAGAAGCATAGAGTGGGATGGGAATTTAAAATAATGAAAACATGGTGATTATAATGTTAATAACAATGAGCACTGTTTAACAATTATTTGAACTTAAGTAGACTGAGCTTTACTTATTGTTAGATAAGTATTAAAGAAACACATGAATATATGCAAACATATATGTAGTCAGAGATATTTTTTAACTTTATGAAACATTTGTACTAATGAAGTTGCAGATAAGCTGATGTTTTTATAAGTAAGTCATATTTTCTGGCATATCCCAATTACATAATTAGAAATATTTCTATTCAACAGTGTCAAAGGTCTCTATGTATTAACCAGTGAATGTAAACCAAGGACACAGTACTGAACCATTTATTCTGTTTTCCAGGGCACAGCTTTCAAACTATGACTTGTGATCCCATTTTGGTACAACATAGCTAAATGTGGGGGTTATGAAAAATTTTGAAACAGTAAAAGTTTCTGAATATGCAATGAAGGAAAATTAATTCCAATTATATAATGAATCTAAATTGTTTCTGACAGTCTATGCCTGAGTGGCAGCTCATGACTTCACCTTGGCCTTGGTTCTGAGTACATGACTTTTGCATTTTACACTATGTATGTTTCCACACACCACCAATAAGCACTCCCTGAAGCAGCTCAGCTCAGACTTGAGACCACACATATTATAAATTCCAGTGGGATCACTGTATATACTATTTTATGCTCTTATCAAAACAAAAGGGTTTAATTATGGAAACAATTAGATGAAGTCAGTATACTTATCTTTGTATTGTGCTCTATTAGAATGTTTGACTTTAGAGAGGATGTGGAGAAAGGGGAACACTCTTCCACTGCCAGTGGGAGAGCAAATTCATACAGACCCTTTGGAAATCAGTATGGTGGTTCCTCCAGAAAATGGGAATCAGTCTACCTCAAGATCCAGCAATATCACTCTTGTGCATATACCCAAAGGATGCTCAATCACACCACAAGGACACTTGCTCAACTATGTTCATAGAAGCATTATTTGTAATATCCAGAACCTGGAAACAACCTAGATGACCCTCAACTGAAGAATGGATAAAGAAAATAAGTTACATTTACACAATGAAGTATTTATTATTCAGCTGTAAAAAAACTAATGACATCATGAAATTTGAAGGCAAATGAATGAAACTAGAAAAAATCATTCTGAGTGAGGTAACTCAGACCCATAAAGACAAACATGGTATGTATTCACTCATAAGTGGATATTATGTGTAAAGCAAAGGATAACCAGACCACAATCCACAGTTCCAGAGAATCTAGGTAATAAGGAGGACCTTAAGAGGGACACATAGATCACCTTGGGAAGGAGAAATAGATGAGATTTCTTGGGTAAACAGGGGGGTGGTGGGGGTGGTAAAGGGGAAGGGATGGGGCATGAGAATATGAGGAGATGAGATGGTCCAGTTGGAGGGACAGAGTGGAACAGAAATAAAAGAGATATCTCCATAGAGGGATCTTTTGGGGTGAGGAAAAAACCTGGTGCTAGTGAAATTCCCAGGAATCCACAAGGATGATCTTAGCTAAGACCCCTAGCAATAGTGGAGAGGGTGCCTTAACTGACCTTCCCTTGTAATCAGATTGGTGAATACTCCTATTGTCATCATAGAACCTTCCTCCAGTAACTGATGGAAGCGGATGCAGAGAACCACATCCAGGCACCAGGCCAAGCCACAGGAGTCCAGTTGAAAAGAGGGAGGAGGGATTATATGAGCAGGGTGGGGGGAACGAATGGGGAAACACACAGACAGTTGACCCAAACTTGTGGGGAGCTCATGGACTCTAGACTGACAAGCTTGGGGAGCCTTCATGGGACTGAACCAGGGTCTCTGCAGTTTTGTAGCCTGGTCTGTTTGTGGAACCTGTGGCCATGGGACCAGGATCCATCCCTAGTGCATGAGCTGGCTTTTTGAAACCCATTCCATTTGGTGGGATATCTGCCTTGTTCAACCTTGATGGTGGGGGTGGGGAGGGCTTGGTCCTGCCTCACCTGATTGTGCCAGGCTTTATTGACTCCTCATGGGAGGCCTTACCCTTTCTGAGGAGTGGATGGGGGTGGGTTGAGGGGAGGGAGGGATGAGATGGAGGAAGGGTGGGAAGAGGAACTGTGGTTGGTAAGTAAAATGAATAAAAAAATATAAAAAAACTTGCTGCAACAGTTGAGTTGCATTTTATAAAAAAGAAAACATTAAGTGAATGTTGGCTTTAGATTATTACAGAATTTTCAGCAACAACTGAGATAGTCCTAAATACAATTCTGTCATTTTGTACTATGCATGTACATGTATAGGCACATATATGTATATGTATTTGGGCAAAATGCCATCCTCAACATTTATGGCTCTAAAATTAAAGTATCAATCCACTGAGAAAAACTAAAAGGATGTTCTAGATCCTTGTACTAAATATTCTGCTAAGAATAATTCTTTCTGTAAAAATCAACAAGCACATCTATCACATTATTATACAAATATGCTGTAATTTTTAATGAATGACAAAATTATACACATACCAAAGAAATGCTTGCTGGAAATAAGTGTCTTTATGATTTCTGGTCAGTGTTTGATTTGTGCATCCATTTTATAAGTTGGGAAAATGTTAAGGAGCCCTTTGCTAGAAATTACTCCTTGGCTACAAACTCAGGAGTAGACAAGAACTTCAGCACAATGTTACATGTGCCATTAAAAGAAAGTGAATACTAAAGAGTATACACAAAGACATGAAAGCAGGGGTGAAGATTTGGCCAAGTACAAAGACAATGGTGGAAGCAGTGAAAATGGTAGTGTTCATGGTATTGGAGGAAACAACACACACCAAAGAACAGAGGCAAAAGGGAACACAGTATACTCATAGACCTGTACATTTTAATTATTGCTGAAAGATTTAAATGTGGAACAATTAAGAAACATTGATGGTGAGATATATTGTAGGAGTATATCTGTAACTTAGGGAATAACATGAATAAATCTGTAACTTAGGGAATTGGTGTTTGGTTGAAGGGCACACAAACCAGTTAAAGATGGCGCTGAGGGGAAGTCAGGAGGGCATCCTGAAATGTTTACAAAATAGGGTGATTGGTTGCCAAGATGGAACCAGATGAGGCCACTGTATGATCAGCTTGTGTTCACTAGGTAAAGCATAGGGTGCCTAGGCGCATGATAGGCTGACCTTTAAAACCATTGGTTGGCTGTTTTCCCACTCTGTGGTTTTTTGCTTTAAAAGATGCTTGCTGTGGGGCAATAAATGTGTTCCTGCTTGACTAGATTTACTGCTGCATCTGATTGTCTCTGGGATCCTCAGAGGTTGGGAAATGGATAAGTGGCACACTTATCTGTCCTAGGACCCAGCTCAACCTTCTGTGGTTGGGTTAAGACATGAATAAATCTATAACTTAGGGAATTGGTGTTTGGTGATATGCTGTTAACTATTCTTTGAAAGAAATGCTGTAAATACTGTACTATAAATACTTTCACATGTTTGACTTTATGCTCTTAATATTCAAATGAGAGGCTTGCAAAAAACCTTGGATATCCATGAATTGGCTCTTGAGTTTAGTGAGACTATGGATTTTATTCGAATCCTATGAAGTAGTAGACATGGTGCCAGAGAACAAGGAAGTACACAGCCTCATTATCATTCTAATGGGGGAGGGGCAAGTACAGGTCTTCACTCAGCTTCCATGGAAACTGGATAGTAGTAGAAGGTCTTGTTATTACTGCCTGTGCTTTGGAATTCAGACTTCCAATTATCCTGCTTGACACCACTCAGGTTGGGGTGGGGGATGCTTTCTGTTTCTATGTATGCTCCTCTGACACCACTATAGATGGTGGTTATTGTCAAATATGGATGGGAACCCTCCCTTCCTGCACTGTGTTCTCTAATACTCCCGCATAAGGCAGACCTGTGACAACCAGGAGAAAGCACGTTCTATTTGCCTCTTCACCTTTGCTGGGAGGTTTGGGGCATGGTCATAGTTTTCTCTGTTATATATGGTTGGAGGCAGTTATCCTGTTTTGTTAGGCTACCACTCTGGGGAGACTTCAGTTAGAGATCTGACTTCCTTGTTGCCTACACCACTCAATTATTTCAAGTTATTGGCTTCTTTGGTACTTTAAATGTCAGATTCTACACATATTTTTACCTTTCACGAAAAGGTTACCTAGAAAGCCAACAAGTAGGAAATGCAGTTTTTAATTTTGAAATTTGAGAAAAAAATACCAAAAGTAAGTACAGTTCACAGATTTGTTCTTGGTAGTGGGGTTGTCCTGTCCACTGGCTGCTGCGGACAAAATTCAAGACGCATGAAAGGGTTAGGATCAACATTCAAAGCCTCCTTCGTCCTTGAAGGTTTGAGGCAAGCATCACATTATGCTCTGTGAATTTGCCTCTAACTTACAGTTTCCCCACTGAGTCCTGGGATTACAGACCCACATCGCTATGCATCATCAGAACTGGAGTTCTTACATTCTGAAAGCCGCAGTTTCAGGATGCCTTCTCCAGTGAAGAGCACTTTGGATGTGAAACACAGCAAGCTCCAGCATGGTCTCAGAATTCTTCCACACATAGTGTCTTCACGTCTGCTAGTCCCCTTAAGAAAAGATGTGAGTGTGTGTGCAGGAAGGAGAGGACCCGAGGAGGTCATTTACTGTACACATAGAATGCATATATTGAAGTAGCTTAGGTATCAGCTCAGAATTCTATCATCAGCTATAGATAAAAATGCTTGAATATTTAGCCCAAACAATTTTTGTATATTTTGGAAAGTTCTTAGGAAAAAGAAAGCATTGGCCATTATTCAGGCAAGATTTGTGGACCTGCTAATTTATAACATAAGGCAATTAAAATAGAAATTTTAAATTAAAATTTCAGGATAGCATACAAAGCAGTGGTTTTCATTTCATTTTGATATGCATCATAATCTGCTGTTTTACTGTTGCTTTTTCCTCACTGTCCTCCCCATGCTCCTCCAGCTACTCCCTTTGGTCTGGCTACTCCCTTTGGTCTGGCTACTCCCTTTTCTCTGGCTTACTTCCTTTCTTCCCCCACATACTTTCATGATATACAAATTACATTTTTCTTATTTTAGAGTTTTAAGAACAATTTGAAACTCAAGTAATGCAATACAAAATTTGCCCACATGTATTTTAATCTAATTCCACTATGCACTTGTCTATATAAAAGGAGTCATAATTATTCCTTGAGAAAAAAACATTCATTTTAGAAACATGTTGGTGCTGGGGAGAGCCTTAATAAGCAGGAGCAGCTCTGAAATGAATCCTGGAAATTGCAAAATGTATAATTCTACATGGTTTTATTATAGAGATAGGTCAATTGCATGTGACTCAAAAGCAAATATATTTTAGGAGGGGCCTCTCAATAAAGTTTTATATGGAAAAATGATACCAAAATACACAGTCTGAAAGGTTAACTAGTTCATCACTTGTCCCCATGTGAAGGTGAAAGGAAACAGGTATATATTGCTATAGGGAGGGAGTGATGAGGGAACTAAGCAGCGTAACTGGAAGTTTCTGGTACAAACTTGTTACTTAGCAGGGAATCACACAGATGAAATTTATTCATTATGTCTTCATCTACTCATGCTCTTGGCTAGTTTCACTGGGGGCTTCAGTAACAACAAAGACCAATGTAATGTTTGTTCCCAAGTACTGCTTTCATTAACGTTGCTGGGTGTGAACAGTAAATAGTGAAGGGGAAATCATTTTTCTTTGTAGCTTCCAGAAAGTGCAAACTGAGGGAATTATGAAATAGAAATTATTTTCTTTTAAAGACATGTTGCATATTATTCCTGGGGAGATTTTCATTTGTGGGTTAATGGCTAAGGATTCAATTTTTTAAATATTTATTTACATTCAAACTGAGTCACATACTTTTTGCAACAGTTCATGCAGATGAAAGTGAAATGACCAGAGCCATACTGTTGACTAATAAGAAAGACAAGATTAAAAATACAAGAGACAATTTATACTTGGTGAGGGCTAGAATGAACATCTACCCACATGTTTAATGTATATAAAATCTGAGTCAAAATTAATTCCTTTGGCTTAAACTTGATGTGCAAATTTGATACTTGTGTTTCTTTAAACCTTGAGCTTAAGTTCCTTCTTTGTATCAGATCCCAGATCTTTGTAAGAGCTACTGTTAGCTAGTCAGAATTCAGCACACGGAGAGGAGAAGTAAGAGATGGCTTTTGCAGCACCAAAAGAGTGATATTCGACATGTGTGAACGTAGATTCATAGGGTGAAAGCAGGTGAATGTAGGTTCATAGTACGACATAGACATGCAACAATGATGCTTTCTACATTTGCACAACATTAAGACGCATCAGCTCTCCTGTGCCACTCAGCTGCCTTAAACTAAAAGCACCATGTTGTTTTCTTTGTTCACTCATTTTTGTTTTTTTGTGTCTTGTAAACCATTTTAGTGAAAGCTGTGTTTCTAAGGTGGAGAAATGTAGACCTGATGCCCGGATTTTTATTTCCATGACACCCAAATTCATGGTATGTTCTCAAATATTTCTCTTATCCTGCCATGTTGTTTTCCTTGCCTACAGGGAGAAGTGGCCCTTTTTTTTTGTGTAAGGAGCAAGCTTGTTCAACTTTAGGAAGTACATACAGAAAGTCCAGAGGGGAATGCACACTGTTTCAACTTGTTAAATTGAGCAAGAGGCTACTTCAAAAGAGTTAACAAAAAAAGAAGGACCCCATGGCCTAGGTCTTGAAATGGCCCTGCCCTGTGGGACCAGCCTGGCAGGGAAGCGTAAGAGGTGGAATCTCTCCCACCTTGCACACCAGAAGCTGGGTTTCAGCAAAGGTATCTATCGATCACCTCAATGGTTGGAAGCCCAGCGGTATTTGAACTCACATATTAGACCCCAAAGTCCAAAGACTACTTAGATTCTTAAAAATTCATTTTGTTCTGACAAATTGTGTCAAAAGTTACCTGTGTTCAATTTCCTTAGGATACAATGAATGAAAGAAGTGAAGGGTGAATGGGGAAGTCTTAGGTTTGTTATTTTCTGGGCACACAACCATCCAAGCTGCATCAACTTCCCTACCTATAAATGCTCAGTTCTGGCATCATTGATGAGCTTGTTAATGGAGGCTCTTCTTTACCTTTTGTTATTGACTATTAAAAGTACAGTATTCAGTCTTCCCTCTCTAATTCCATCACCCTGAAACATCTGTACCGACTGGAGCTTTGATGACAAGCATTGAGGCAGAGGGATAAACAAGTCAGTCCCCCACATCTAAGTAGTTGTATTCTGATGGGAAAAAAAGAAAATCTCCAAAAGCTTTCAGATTTATACAAGTTGATGTCCTTGAATGTTAACTGAATATTTCCAGGAGACAGAAATTCTTTTTTCTCCACAAAGCCCAACTTTGTTCTTTTTTGACCTTTATCCGTATTCCAGCATTTAATGACCTTCATTTAAAATGAAATTTTCCTTGTAAATAGAAACTAAGCTGCTTTTTGCCTGTTCATGCTCCACTAGAGAGAAGAAACACACAGATGTGATTTTCTACTGCAAAACTGGAGTCTTACCCCACTGCTCAGCAAAGAACAGATTTCTCCAACTTTTACAATACTTGGTGTTATTTCACTGTTGTAATACAATGTAGGGCAAAGGGTGTTTGGAAAAAAAATTCAAACTTCACAACTGTTGAGAAAAAAATCATTTGGTAGACTACCATCTTTGAATTTTTAATCATTTTGTTTAAGCTCCATGCAAGCTAAAAACTGGTAATTTTCAGTGACCCTTCTCAACAGCAATGCAAGTTAGCAGGTAAAAACATTAACCTGAGATTTCATAGATATGGGGAAATTAAAATTTCTTTCATTGTTGAACACCAGGGAGAATACTGGAGACAATAGGAAGCTGGGATATTATGGAATACTATTCTTTCTTTCAAATTCAAAACCAACAAATATGCTCATTGCACCGAGTGGAGGTTCAGAAATGCTTATGCTTCCAGTGCACTGATGGCCTGGGTAGATGGAAGTGATTGGAATCCAGAAGATAACCATGCTGTTAAACCATTCATTCAAACTCCCCTCTTTTCCTGTTAAATGGTTGTGACTTTTGAGCAACAATTATTATAAAAACAAAACAAAACAAAAAGTACAAGTAAAAACAACTAAATATGGAGAAGTTTTATTTAGATTTTATTTGATCTTTGGATGTTCCCAAAGGTCAAAATTAGTTCAATCTTCCTTTTAGTTCCTTAGCAAAGATGAAGATGGGAGATAAGTGTTCATTCCACAACACTGTTTCCTGCCGAGGAACTGAGTCGGCTATAGCCAGGCAGTCCTGTCCAGCTCACCATGACTATTCTGAATTTGAAACAACTACCTGACATCAAAATGGGGTTTCATTCTTACATTTCTTTTGTCACCATAGAGAATTAAAAAGATAATTTGTATTCATATTTTAGATTCTGGTCTGCTTCTAGTTAACAAGGATTAACTAGATTCCACTGTCTGAATTGCACTGTCTGCACTGGTTTTTAAAACAGAGTTATTCATATATAACATCCAAAATGGGTCCAAAGATAAAGTGAATCCACATTGCCTACAGTATGTACACTTAAGAGACAAGGCTGAGTATTGTGGAGATAGACCAGAAGAGAGGCAAGCCTGGCTTGGGGCTTACTTAATGCTCCAGTCAATGTTTTTTACCTTTATGACTTTGGAAAAGTGACGCCAGTGTTTTTATGCTTGTGACCTTATTTGTAGTATGGGAGAAGTAAGATCTAATTTGGCTGCTGCATGATTTAAATTGGAAGGAGCATGTGCTCCAACTGGCATTCTTTTCTGGTTATCCCGTCACCTTTGTCATTAATGACTAACCTAACATTTATTGGGTGGTTCTAGTCCTATGCAGCACTTCTCAACACACCCAGTACAACTGTGAGGTGTCTAGACACTTAACCAAAGATAAAGAACTTTGACAGCAAAAATGCCCCAGTGCTTGTTTGCTTTTGTTTTTAAAATCAAATAACTGTTTAACCTCCATTTTCATTCAATTGGATGGTGTCGTACCATTAAATCAGAATGATAAATAGGCCCTTTGGCTATGCAGTAGAGGTAGATGTTTGCTTATAAAACTTATATTAAAACTTTGGGTTACTCCCCAAATTAGTTTACTAAATAGAGGGAAGGCATAAATAATAATCTGTTTATACAACTTGTTTATCATGTAAAATGAATTTGTAGTTCTACAGCTTTTACATAAAATACCCCACCCTGCATATTAGCTCTCAGAGAATCTGTTTTAACTAAACATTCATTACATTTTCTACACAAACCTTGTTTTTGAGCCTACTGTGATGAAACTTGTTAATTTCAGTGGTAATTACACAGCTATAAACTTTTAGGACTGTACATACTACATATTTACAGTGCTATTTTCATGAATGACTACACTTAGAGGGGTAAATACGATTGAAACATAAAAAAGCATTTTCACTGCTAGGCAGGGAACACCCACTTGATCATGCTGTGTCTTGAGTAACACACATCTAGTCACAGGTATTCCTTTGTGCCAGGAAAATATTCTATGTGTTTTGTTTATCTATAATCTCACCATATACAACATTAAAGTGTAGTGAAAATATTTTAGTGTTTTGATGATGGCAGTTTTGCACAGACTTAGAAAGACAACATATCCAGTTGGTAAAAACTATGTTCTTTTATTCATGCTATTGACTATCTTTAAAGAAAGAAGATGCCCACCATCTTTTGGTCAATGCAATGAAAAGTCAGATCCTCTTGAGCTTAAAAAATGACACCCCCAGCTAACTAGAAATTACAAATAAGCAAATAAATTGCTGCATCCATATTAGCTGAAATGTTTAATATTATGACCACTCACTGTGTACAGGACACTGTTACCAATCTTATATTAATTTCCTCTGAGTTTTTTTTCATAAACCTTCAAAAAGGGAGGAAAAATAACCTTGGCTTTTAAAAATTCTGTGTATTTAGTATCTTGCTAAGTATTGCCAGGGATCTTGGAGTTATTGGTATTATTCTGTGAGTAGCATTGTTTCTTAAAAACCATTAAAACTCAACTACATGTGGATTTAATATAAAATATGTACTTTACTCCTTCAAATAGCAACTGTATTCATGAACTCTAAACAATAACCCTCTCTTGGTGGAGGAGTCTGGAGATGATGTTCAGAAAAGACACCTTGGTAGGATCAACATAGTAAAAATGGCAATCTTGACAAAAGCAATCTACAGATTCAATGAAATCCCCATTAAAAATCCCAACACAATTCTTCACAGACCTTGAAAGAACAATTCTCAACTTTATATGGAGAAACAAAAGACCCAGGAGAGCCAAAACAACATGGTACAATAAAGGAACTTTTGGAGGCATCACCATCCCTGACTTCAAGCTCTATTACAGAGCTATAGTCCTGAAAACAACTTGGTATTGGCACAAAAATAGACAGTAGATCAATGGAATAGAGTTGAAAACTCTGATATTAACCACACACCTATGAACACCTAATTTTTGATAAACAATCCAAATTTATAAGACGGAATAAAGAGAATATCTTCAACAAATGGTGGTGGCATAACTGGTTGCTGGCATGTAGAAGACTGCAGATAGATCCAAGTCTATTGCCATGCACAAAACTTAATTCCAAATGGATCAAAGATCTCAGCATAAATCCAGCCACAATTAACCTATTAGAAGACAAAGTGGGAAATACCCTTGAATTAACTGGTACAG